GGGTTGCAGGAGATGGCTCCAGCAGTGCTGGTAGCTGTAGATCCATTAAAACAGAAAGCTCCCAAACTACCCAGTGATGCTGTCCTTAAGGCCCACGCTCATGGCCCTGGATGTCACTACTAAGTGGCAGAGCCAGTCTGAAGGCTGCTGAGAGGGGACCACATCCTGCATGCCTGGACCTGAGCTGGGCTCCGGGGTACCCTTGGTGCCGCTGGTGCCAGGGGATTGTACATGCACAAGTATGGCCTGTTTCCTTGGAAAGCCGGAGTGGTCTAGGCAATGATTTAACTCTGTTGATGCTGTGTGTTTTTTAAGTGCTTTGTGCATTTGTATGGCTGAAACTCACACCCATCAGTAAACCACAGAGGGCTTCCTGCTCTGCCTTTCACACTCATGAATAATAGAGTCATTGAATGGCTTGGGTTGGAAATGACCTTAAGGTTGCAACCCCCCTGCCATGGGCAGGGACACCACCGTCTCCACAGACACCGGTTTTCCTCCCTTCAGTAATGATTGACAGATTTTCCTTCCCTCTTTTTTTTCCCCCCAAAGGAGGAGCCCACGTTCTCCCTCTCCATCCCTGCTCCGGGATGATTAAACACGCTCTCTGATGCAAAGAGCCTCGAGCAGACAAGGGAATCTGATGGCGTGAAGGAAAACAAAGCCCCCATCACAGTCAGCATGTAAATATTTTACCAGGTTTATGGACTCCCACGGTGGGGATGGGAACATGCAAAGGCCGCTTCCCTGGTGACCTTTCCCAGTGCTTTCAAGCCTTCTGTCCCCAGCAGCCACAGGCTTTGCTTGTCTCATTGCCCTGCTCCTGTGCTGGCAGGAGCAGGGCAGGGCTATGCAGAGCAGGGATGAAACAGAAGGGAGGGTGAAGTATGTGTTTGAATAAACCTTTGCTTCTGATCAGCCTTCAGTAGTGGTCCTTTAGATCTCTGCCCTCAAAGATAAGGCAGGGAGGGATGCCCCGGGGAGGTGCTTTCAAACATAATTGTTCCTGCGGTGTGCTGAGCTGTGCCAACGGGAGCGCTGGCTCCGGGAGCTGCCGGTGTGTTGGCAGCCTGCAAAGCAGCAAGCAGAGCTGGGATGCAGTTATTGACTACGTGTCCCCAGCTCCTGTCACCTCTTGGGGTAATGATGCTGAAGCCTGGGTCTGCGCAGCTTCTTCCACTGAGAGCTGGGTTCATGGTTCTCCTTCGGGAGGGTCCTATTGGGACTTTGACTTGCCATGTGTCCGGGAAGGCAGCTGACACTGCATCTCATCTTCTCTAACTCCTCCTGAAGCACCCTTGTCTCTACTTGGGGAGGAATGACACCATCTCCCCATCCCACTCTGCTGGACCACATCTGCATTCAGGCGGTCATAGCCTTTCCTTGCACTGCGAGGGAGGCCAGGACAGAGAACCGTGTCGGCTCGGAAGGATGCCTGAACAGGGAGACACCGAACTCTCTGACCACATGGGGATGCTGAAGTCCTGCTATTGGCAGTGGGAAGGGCTTGCAAGAGGAGGCAGACACAGGAGAGGTGAGGGGAGAGCTCCTCCGCACCCTATGGCTGCAGCCTGGCCTGGGCCGCCTTGGTCACACTGCTGTGCCCTTGTGCCATTGCATGGTGGAGAGGGGATGGATGCTGGCAGGAGCTGAAGGGCTTTTCCTGCCGTGGATGATGTCTCTATTGCTGCAGGCAGGGCTGTGCCTTGACTGTGCAGGCAAAAACGTCTTTTCCTGGGGCAGGAGGTGTTACTCACCAGTAAAAATCGCTGCTCAGGGACTTTTTAAGCCCTCCTCGGTCCATGAGGGGGAGTGGGAGGAAGCACAGCTCCATTCTCACCACGAGGTGTTGCAGATGCTGGTGCCGGAGCCCTTCTCCCGCCCGCTTCCTCTTCCCACCACCGATCACCGTGGGACCTGGTGCTTGCACCCCATAAATCACTCGGTCACTCAGGATCTGCTCCAAATGTGGCTGCTCTGGGGCCAGTGGATGGGATGCTTGGGCAGGGAGCCAGTGTGAGCCCCTGCTCCCCAAGGGGCTTCTAACTCAACAGCCCACCTAAATAAGTGGGGGCTCACTGGGCTGATGTGGACACGGCTGGAGCATCATTTGATGCTGACCAATGAGCACACATTGCTGTGTGCCCTTACTGTTAATCTCAGTCCCCTGCCTCAGCAGGGACAGGCACAAACCCAGCACCATGCCCATGGAGAAGCCCTCCTGGTTTGGGAGGGATGGAGGGGGACACATCTATGGAGGAGGAGAAAGGAGGCCCTGGGAATGGGGCTGTTCAGTGATGCCACAGCTTCAGGTCTCATCTGGCAGTGTCGTGGGAAGCGTTTCCAGCTGCTTTTAAGATGCTCAGTTCATCTCCTCCTCCCATTCTTGGCTTGCCAAATGGCTACTGGAGCTGGGAGGCTGGGGCAGACCAGAAGCAGCTCTGGGGAGGGGGGAATTGGTTTTGACAGATTCAAAGCCGGTCTTAAAAGTCAGGAAGAGAAAAATAAACTCTGGAGGGCTTTGGGGTCGTGTTTCTTTTAACCACCTGCAGATGATGCAGGTGTGGGAAACAATAGAAAGGAGAAAAGAATTACAGGGGATGTAGGTGATGGCTGGGGGCTGCTTCTGGGGGGCTGCCTTGTGCACCCCAGCGTTGCTCCATCACTCTGTGCTGCAGGGCTCTGCACCCTCTTGCTCCAAGAGAGATGATGCTAATGGGGGCTTTAGCGGCCTTCAGATTCACTGAGGTTTAGGGGTGTAGCTCATGCCCTCACAAGGACCCAGCATCTGAGTCAGTCAAGTCCCAAAGCTGCAGCTGGAGCTGTGTGCGCATTGCTCAGACCCAGCAATCCGCCCGCTTTCATGTTCCTTTCCCACAAATATTCCAGTGTGCTGGGCCAGAGCAGCTGGAAGTGGCTCTTGGAGCCGATTCACACAAGTTGTGTCAGCTCCCGACACCCCCTCTCCCATCCCAAGTCTCAGCTATTTCTCACCACTGTCCGTGCCAGGTTGGGTGTCCGTCCCATCACCACACGCAAGCTCCCCAGTGGGATGTTCCCCATGTCCTGAAGCTGCGAGGCTGGGAACATGATTCACACAAACCCAGGGTAATGGTGACCCAAATACCAATTAAAACCAAAAATAAGGAGGTGGAGGAAGCAAAACAAAAAACACTAAAAGAGCCTCTTGCTCTTTCAGTGCTGCAACCACCAGGGACCGGGAAAGCCTTTGGCCTGGAGCATCCCATGGGCACAATGGTGTCAATAGCAGTGGTCCCTAACTAACAGCAGTGTCCTCACCCCAGTGCTGCGCACCAGCTCCCTCCAGAAGGTACAGCTGCCTTATCGGCTGCCTGGAGAGTAAACAGGACGTGGCAGAGCAGTGCTGGGGTGCAGATGAAAGCAGGCTGGCCTGGCGGGAGCAGGCTTGGCTTTTGTTTTCCTTTTGGTTATTAATGCCTCTATTTATTGACTTTTCAGCCCACAGGAGGAGGGAGCAGGGGGAGAGGCTGGGAGAATGGGGTGGGACAAACTGGAGCGGGGGGGAAACTGCTGTGCTGCCTGCCCCTGCTCCTGAGAGCTCAGTGGGGTCAGTTTTATTGCATCCAATTATTTTATTTTATTTTATTTATATTGTATTATATTATATTTATTATATTACACTATATTATATTACATTTTATCTATTTAAATTCATTATTTAACTTGATTTATTAAGCACCCTCCCAGCCTTCACCCCTGCTAAGCGTTAAAGCATCCCTGCAGCAGCATCCCAGCCAGCCCATATCCCAACCCTTGGTTCCTCAGTGCCTCCCTGGGCACTTAATCCAGGATTTGGGCTGTATTGCAGTAAACAGGCAGCCCTCACCCAGCCCTGCCTGTGTGAGATGGGTGCTGCCCTGTCCTGGCTGCATCACCCCATCCCACTTTGGGGACCAGCCTGTGGAAAGGGTGACAGTGCCGCTGCTGGGAAGCACCCACACTGCTGAAACCACAGCCTTGAGCAATAGGAAACTACAGGGGTGGGTGGCAGAGCTTCCTGTGCCCTACACAGCTCCCCTGAACTGACCCCGCGCTGCAGGGATGGGCGCCCCAAATCCTGCACCCACCATGCAGCCCCAGTCACCATTTGATAGGGGAAGGCAGCTCTGTTCTCCATGGAGCTCTGTGGGTACCAGTGGGGGATTGCTTTGGGGACAGAAGCCAGAGCCCCCCATCCCACAGCACCTCAAGGGCTGCAGACTGTTGGGAGACTGTGGGTGTTGGGGCTGTCTGAAGAGCACACGGGCATTGGAAGGAGGGGTTGTTGCTTTAGCACATGCTGACTTCCTGCTAAGGCTGTATTTTTAGCAAGGCCAACCCCTGATAACCCAAGAGATTCAAGTGAAACCGTGAGGTAAGAAATTGTGCCTTGAAAAGAAAAAAACCCAGAGGAGGAAGGCGGGGGAAGGAGAGGATGGTGCAGATAAAAGCTGGTACCAGCGATGCACAAACAGGGCTGGGTTTGGGGTACGGGGGCAGATCTTATGCTGTTGCCACAGTCCATGAGAGCCGGGGCTTGTTGCTGGCAGGTGAGTGCTTTGTGTTGGCTGCAATGATGGTGGTGGAGAAGGGAGGGCTGGCAGGGAAGGAGCTCGGCTCCCGCAGCCCCCAACCTTCCCACGCAGACGCCTGCCCGCCGGCTGTTAACAGCACCCTGCTAACAACCGGCTCTCACCTCGCCCCTGTCACCTCCGCTCCCATCACGGAGCCTGGGAAAAGCCATCCCTGAGGCCTGCCCGAGCCTTTTGGGGTGGGGAATGAGGAGAGGACCCTCACACCCTGGGATGCAAATGGCCGGTGGATGCCGGTACCCGTGGGAAAAAGAGAAGGATGTGGGCGCAACCCCTCCTCGGTGCATCCCTGAGAGCTTCATTAGAGGCGATAACATCCGCGGGGGAACAAGGGGTGCTCAGCACAGCTCATCCATAAAAAGACACCAGGGGCCAGGACCAGGTGACTGTGGTCAGCAAAAAAGCCACTTTATTGGTGACCGCTCCCACGGGAACCCCGTGGCAGCGATCGGGTTCAAGTCCCTGAGAACACACTGTCCATGCTGGTTCCCCATCCCACATCTATTGCTTGAAACACATCCTAGTTACAAAAAGCACAGAGTGATGCTCCAGATACTGGAACATATAAATTAAGGTAAGTGATAGTTACAAAGACATGGCAATTATTTCTTTTTCTTTCTTAAACAGATTATCAAAGGTTGGGGATTTTTCTTTTTCTGATCCACAGAAAATGTATAAAAAGCATTTTAAAATCTACATATTTCTCCATGTGTTGGTTTGGTGTTTTTTGTTTTTGTTTTTGTTATTTTTTTTTATTATTTTTACCCCTTTAAAAAAGGCACAGTGAAAAAATACTGGCTCAATAACATATTTACAACGCACCCATTATGGGCTATTTTCACTCAGCTTTGTGTTGGAAATGTTCAGCTCTGGCTCAGCCCACTTATAACCCAGGGGCACAGGGCTGGTGGCCACAGCCATGGGAGGATGTGGGATCCCTCTCCCTCCCTGCCTAAATCCCTCCCCAGTAGGAAGAGATCAATGGCCAAGCTGGGAAACGCTCTTGGCCCATGGCAAGGTGCATCTCAGGTGCTCTGGTCACCAAGCCAGGGCTGGAGGATGCTCCGGGCCCATGGTGGGCACACACACCCCCACAGAACCCCTGGCTTGACCCCAAAGTACAAAGGTGCAGGGCTGCCCAAGGTGACACTGAAGGGAGACCCAATACAGACAGTGCCCATATTGCTCCAGTGACTCCAGAAAAGCCCTTTTCCCCCACTGTATGTAGAGAAAGTCTTTACATTAGTCTCTATTAACAGCGCATGGATCGATGCTGCTGGCACCATTGCAGCCAGACCTAGGGGAGCTCCAGGAACCAGAGCTAACACCAACATGAGCTGGCAGCCCACCCCACTGTCTCCCTCCAGTGCAGCCATTGAGCACCCAGCACCTTTGTAGCACCCTGAGGCATCATTTGCCATGGCCAGGATGCTTCCCCTGCCTGCTGAGCCAGGGAGCAAACCTCACCAGTGACCTTTCATCTGGATAAGGAGCCGGAGCTTCGCTGCTGAGATTCAGGAGATGGGATGGGGTGGATGAGGGGTTATGGGAACAGGGAAGGACACGGAGGGGAGGCACACACCAAAAACACTTAACATTTGAAAGGAAAACCAACAAAAGAAGAAGCAAGCCCGGGGAGGCAGAGCCCCGCACTGCGGTTGCTCCCCACGCATGGCGTGGGGCCCACCAGTGCCATGGGGATGCCCAGTGGTTAAGTGCTCAGGTCCCGTCCCCCTGGCCGGAGCAGGCAGTGGGCACGGGCAGCCGGGCAGGCAGGGCAGGGAACAAGGGGCCGCACAGCAGCCTTCAGTACACACACACTGTGCAATACCACAGCAACGACGTCCGTCCGTCCGTCCATCCTTGCACGTCGCAGCGAGGCCGGACCGAAACACCCGCACGCAGGTCCCGCACGCCCGTCGGATACCGGGGAAATCGGGGACGAGGTTGGAGGGGACACGCGCCTCTCCTAGTAAACCATGTTGGCGGGGCACCACGGCGTGTCGGGGTACAGCAGGCAGTGCACAGAGCGGAACCTGAGGAGGAGAGGAGTGGTGCTGAGCACGGGAAGGTGGTGGCCCCGCGGCCCCCTGGCTTGGCGGGGACAGGGTCCCCTCATCTCACCTGGATGGGTCCTCCTCGACGGAGAAGGCTCCCTTCATGTGGATGGAATTGCGCTTGTTCTCGAACATGCCGTAGCTTAGGGTCACCTGGGGAGGGAAGAACAGGGGGGTCAAGAAGGCAATGTGGCCCTGAGGATCAAGCAGAGGTACAGGGGGAGGCTGCAAAGTTCACCCCATTTCCCTAAGCCACACTCTGCATAACCCCACAGGGATGGGCTGGTGGGGTTTTCCCCCTTCTGCTGATGCTCTGGTTGCGTACCAATGGGTATCTTAGCCGTGATGCCCCAATTTCAGGTGACCACATAGGATACCTGTTTGTGGATCTCCGTCTTGGGCACCTGGTGCAGGTTCTCCAGGTGGGAGTGGAAGAGGTTGCTCCGGATGAGCTTCACCCCCAGCACGGACTCGATGATGTAGCCGATGGTGCAGTCGTCGGGCAGGCGGATCTTCTCTGCTGTGCTCATGAAGTGGCCGCCGCTGCAGGGAGACAGAAAGGGGCTGCAGAGGAGCAAAGCCCAGGGGCTGAGGTGTGGGCTTGGCCAGTGGGTACCCAGCTCTAATTAGTAGAGGATCCAAAGTCTTTCCCAGCTTGTTTCCAAGCCCCCTGCAGACACCCCCTGGGATACAGGCCAGCGTCCATCCCCAAGGATGCTCTGAGCCCTGCAAGGACCATGACAAGTCCCCATGGGAGAGCAACACCAAGGCTCTTACCTGGCCCATGGGCTCATCTTCAGTGCCAGCCCCCGGCTGATACAAAACCCCGCTCCGCCCGTGGCAAACCAGAAATGCACAGGGTGCTGCGAGAGAGGGCAAGCAACAGCAGTGAGACCTCCTCCTGCAAACCCCAGCCCAGACTGAGCCAGCCCCAACCTCTTGCCCCCGCCTCACCATCTTGTTCTCACTGATCCTCTCCGTAGCCTGGATGGGCCGGTCCAGGCTGGGCTTCCCGATGTAGATGTCCTGTGTGTGTGGGTAACTGGAGAGCAGCTTCACCAGCATCCGCACGTTCACGTAGTTGTCATCATCCACGTGGCAGAACCACCTGCGGCGGCAGCAATGTCACAGCGGGCTGGGGCAGCTCCCCATGCTGAGATACAGCCCCAAAATGGGAATAGCCTCTGCTTGGACCATCCTCCCCCCTGCAGCCACGCTGCGCCCCATGGCAATCGCAGGCACTACTTACTTTCTGCCGGACTCAATGAACTTGTCGTACTCCACAGCCATCTTGCAGGACAGGGCCTGGCGGCTGTGGGCAGCAGAGCAGTTGGTGTTGATGACATTTCCTATAGGAAGAGATGGAGCAGGGTCAACACCCGGCATCGGGCATCCTGCACATCCCCGTATGTTCAAAACGTGATGTTTCACCATACACATCCCAGGCGTGCCAAGGGATGGAAACCCCATGGATGTCTCTGGTGCTCAGTGGCCTCTGTGCCGCATCATTCTGGGCAAAGAATGAGGTTTTCGGGCATGGCTTTTGGGTCCATGTGAGATAATGAAAGGATGAGCAAGGGATAAGGATGCAGTAGGTGCACTGGGGTTGAGCTACGCACGATGCAACCTGCATCACCTTGCACATCCCAGTGCCATGTACCAGCCACCCTGGGAATGAGAGCGTATCCATGATCCTTCAGGATATGGTAGCTAAAATCCTGCCCTATTTTGCTCACCCAGCTCCTTCCCAGTGTGAAAAGGAGTCATTTGCAAGGGGAGAACAGACTATGATGACACTTGCCCCAGGGAAGGGCTGCCAGGAAAACGCTCCCATAGAACCCTGCCTGCATTGCCCATCAATCCCAGCTCACCCCAGAGACAAACTGATGCAAAGGTAACCCAGAAAGCATAGAATAGAATCATGCTTCTGAGCAGCATCATGCAAAAGATAGGCTGACTGGGAAGGAAACCTGTATCCATGTGAAACTCCTGGGCAGAGGGTGCTCTTTAGGCATGATCAGTGAAACAAGTTGCCCCTTTCTCAGCCCAGGCTGAGATTCCTGTCTAATCAGTGGCATTTTGACCATTCCTTTCAGTGCCTAGGTCAAATTCCATGCCAGCCTTGCTCCCCAGGCTAGGGCTCCTCAGGGCACCTGCCCAGGTCACGCACACAAAAGGACAAGAGCCACAGACTCACGTGCTTGCTTCTTCAGCTCCTCATCCTCCCCATCCGTGAAGATGAAGGTCTGAAAGAGAAGACAAGGCACCTCTGAGGACCAAGGGGCTGAGGCCACGTGGCTCTGGACGCGATAACAGCACCTCTGTGCAACACCAGGGATCAATCCCTCCGGAATGCTGGCGATGACTTCTTCCCCCTCACCAAAACCCAAAGCAGCACCAGAGAGCTGGACGTCCCCACAACACACTTGGCTTCAGACCAAGAAAGGTGCAAAGCTGGCACTCACTGGGGTACAAATCCCAGCACCTGCACTAAGCATCCCCATTCTGTCACCTTTCCCCCAGGGCAGAAGCAGCGGGCATGGAGATTTGGGCTGACACAAGGACCATTCCAGCCTGAGGTGAGTGCATGGTGAGGAGCAGGGGACTGGGCACAGAGCACGGCTTGATCTAAGCAGAGACTTCAGACTTTATCCGGCACGTGCGGCCGGGGATGCCGGAGCAGCCGCCCCTCAGCATTCCCAACCCAGGCAGGTGTGTTTGCCCACGGCACTGGCTGCCAACCGCATCCCCACCTGTGTCAACAGCACGTGCTGGGCCGGGACACTTGCACAATACCCCTATGGATCCTCTCTACTCCCTGTCCTGAGCTGGGTGCCTCTTACCAGCCCCAAGGAGGTGATGGTCGCTCACTGCCCACCCGAGCACCAAGCCAAGCAGCACCCAACCTCTTCCCCAGGCACCCCAGCTGCACTCCCCTATTTACACAGCTAAGTCCTGGCATATGCTGTCCGGGAAGGAGGACTGGGGAGGGGGGATCTGGGATTTGGGGAAGCAGGAGGAGAGAGCAGGGGGTGGGAAAGGCACCGCCATCAATCAGTGGGCAGCAAACAAAGCTGGAGGAGAGAAACCACAACCAGCTGCCAAGCGCTATTAAAAACCAGACGTGCACAAAAGGGCAAAGGAATAAAGACAAAAGGGATGGGGGGGGGAAGGCAGGAGGCAGCAGAGTGGGGATGATGGAGCCTGAGCACTGGGGATGATGAATTACAAGTGAGATGGAAATTGGGTGCAGGCCGGCCCTGTGACAGCGCTGGCTGGGGTTTTGTGGTGTGTTTGAGGAGGTGGGTACAATAGGAGGGTGACTTTACTCAGTGGAGGAGAGTTAAGCGGGCAGTGGTGGTCATTAGCATACAGCTGCACTGGTTAACCCAGAGTGTTTGCTCAGGGCCCGAAGGGAGGCTGGTGGGGAGAGCCCAGATCTGCAGGAAGGCTGAATGGGAGGGGAGGAGGATGTGCTCCTGGGGACGGGGCTACAAGTGACCTTTGGGGCTTGGTAAAGGGAAAAGAACAAGAAAGAAAAAGGCTGGAGGAGGTGGGAAGGCAAGTTCTCACAAGTGCTCTGCAGCCTGGCATCTGGGGAGGGACAGGGTCCTTACGGGGTCAGGAAGGCCTTGAGCAACTGATTAGGGGATGGGGGACCTGCTGATGAGGAGGGAACAGCTTGGGTATGGATGGGGCCTTAGCCCATTAGCACAGGGCCAAGGCTGCCTGTGGTCATTGCAGCCCCAGGGATGCATCATTGCTGGGCTGACATCAGTGCTGTGCGTGGAGAATGAGGATTTCTCCCCAACCAGTGCATCTTGCTGCTGGTCCCCATTTCCCCACGTGCTCAGGGAGGGGACAGCCAGCTGCTGGGGCTGTGACCTGAACCGGAACCACAGGAGACCATCCAAGGATGCCCAAGACAACCCCATCACAAGCCCTTTCTCATCCACCCCGACACATGGTGCCCAAGCACCCCTTAAGCCCCAGCAGTGCCGGGGGTGGGGGGTGATGGCGGATGCAGAGGACATGCAACCTCGGCACAGGCGAGACAGAAGATGTTTGCTTGATTAGCTCAGAAATGCCGTCCAGCAACTGCCTTCAGCTGCTCCAAAAATAACCCCACAAGTAATCCTCCGGTTCAGCCACTATAAATAGAGCACGGGGACAATTGTTTGTTACTGGCCCACACCAAAGCTCCATCTGAATGAGGCATCTTCCCCCCGGCCTCTCCGCATATACACTTCCATCACTTTGCTACTGCAGGTGGACCTGGTGGCACCTTGGGGACCAGGATAGGGGCACGGAGCCCTGCAGGTCACCCCACAGGCTCATCTCCCTCTCATCCTTGCCATAATATTTAAGTAAAACTTAAAGAACTAAAGCCTTTACTTTTCAATTCATTTGGGTGTATCTCTTAGAGGGGAGCTGCACCTTTCCTGCACAACCCGCTCGCCCAGGGCTGCAGGGGAAAGGAGCAGAGGTGCCAGCTGAGCATGAGAGGTGTCAGGATAGGAGATGAGTGGGACAAGAAAGCACCATGTTTGTGAGACAATGAAATACCACGGATCAGCCTTTGAAATCCCCAGTATGTGGTGCTGGGCATCAGCACAGTGCCCAGTTTATGGTGGCACAAATGGGATGGAGATACCGCAGGCAGCATCCCTGAGCTGCCACCTACCAAGCCACCATCTCCAGATGGACCAGCCCCCCAAGCACCCAAAGTTCTTATACCTACCTCTCTCCCATTTGGCTCCCATGCCAACCATGGCACGAGGAACCTCTTGGGCCCCCCCACAGTAACTTTTCCTGCAGGGTGCAGGAGAGGAAGAGCCCGCTGCCCCCCCCAGCCCTGCAGGAAACCTCATTGTTCTCAAAACTGCAGCTTCAAGAAACACAGGATGCCAAATCCCTCCCAAACAATAGCTGCCACCACTCCATACAGCCCCGTACAATACTCAGCCTCCATGTACAGGGACCGAGAGGCACCAGGGATCCCTATGGCCGGAATGGGGTCAACCCCCCCCCCCCCCTTCCCAAGTTGCCTACAAGGAGCCAGGCAGCCACCAGCAGCCCCTCACCTCCTCCTCACCCTTGGGGAGGGCCCATTTCTTCTTGCCTTTGTTGCCCTCCCCATAATTTCTCCTTTCACAGTGACTCATTTCCCCCTGCACCAACCGAGCTCATGGGGCGCACATGGCTGGCTGCTGCACAAGGCAACCCAGCACCTAGGACCACCCCAGGGTCACCCTGTTCCCCCCTGCACTGCCTGGATGAGTGGTCCAGATGGGGTGATGCACTCAGCAGACCCCATGCCTGCTTCATGTCCCCACCACCCACAGCAGCACACCCGTCAAAAAGGGGAACCACAGCCAGGCAGGCACCCCCGTGACCCTGCGGTGCACAGATCCTGTCCCTGTGCCATGTCTCACTTCCCCACGATGGGAGAGGATGGAGCACCCCAGCACCCACCTACGCAACCCCTTCCCTATCCCCAAAGGGGAAGCTGCCACCTCGGTTGGACGCAGGAGACAGCAGAGAGGTTCTGGGGGCAAGAGATCAGCCTCCAGCTGGGCAATGGGCTCCAGAGTAAGCAAAAGGGCTGCAGGAGCAGGTCCCTGCCTGGCTTTGTGTTCCCCACAGCAGATGTTTTCCCTTTGGCCTGCAGGATTAAGGAGGGAAAATCCCCACCCTGCTTCAGCCCACTGGGAGCAGTGCAATAGCAGCATCCCTGTGATAGCAGCGTCCTCACTCCACAGTGATGGCTTTCCCCAGCCCTGGGGAATGGGGTCTTTGCTGGCGCAGGAATCCCAGAGCTGGGACCTGCAGAGGCAGGAAAGGGGCTTGCAAGGCCGCAGGGCCCTTCCTCCCCCCCGCTGCCTTGGGCAAGGGGAAGAATCCTCCTCTGTAATTTTAAATGCTATAATTTTTAATAACCTCCTCGCAAACAATGAGCTCATTGTGCAGTGAGGGTCCCACACCCTCCCTCCATGCGCTCCTCACCGGCTCCAGGGCTTTTATGGACAAGGACAGCAGCATCACTTGGGGTAGGCGATTAAGGGGCCCCTCCACCCCCAAAAAACCACACAGGCTGCCCAAGAGGGGACATCAAGGAGGGACTCTCATTGCTTAGCAGGCCCCAGGAGAGCGGGCTGCACCACAGAGCTGGGTTGGGATGAGCAGCCCCCAGGTCCCAACCCAAGCGGGACACTCATGCTGGCACCATGGCCACCGCAAGGATGGGGACCCTGGCCAAGGTGCTAGGGGGCCGTGGGCGCTGCCAGCGGAGCAGCGTGCTCTCCGGAAGGCAAACCCGTTCCCTCTGCCCCGAGAGCAGGAATTTTTCAAAGCCTGCAATTACCACGCCGAGCGGAGGAAGCCAGCAGATCCCACGCTGGCGGGATGGGAGCCCAGCCCAGGGCCCTCACGGGTATGGTATCGCGGCGTGTGCCGAGCCACCCATCCGCCTTTGGGATGCCCCAGGGGCAGGGGATGCTTCTTGTGCAACTCTGCCACTGCAAATCACTCGACTCAGCAGGAAAGCAGTGGGTTTGGACTTGCTCCTGTCCAGGATTTCTGCCTAACGGCCACTTTCCCCCCCCCCCCCCCCCCCCTTCCCTTTTCTTTCCAGTGCAAAGTTCCCCCAGACTGCACTCCAGCATCCTTAAGGATACAGCTGGAAACTCACCCCAAAGCAGAGAGCATAACTCTCCTCCAAAGAGCAGCTTGTCCAGCCTGGGTTGTGCAAGCTGAGGAGCAGATTTAGAAAGGAATAAGGATCTGCCCTCCCTGTGAAGAGAAAAGCAGGAAGGAGAAGAGGGTGCCCTTTGCAGTGTCTTGGAGGGGCCAGAGGGCAGGAAACAGGGACTATTGTGGGCAGAACAAAGAGCAGCCAAGGAAGGACACAATAGCTATTACCCCTATCTGCCAGGGTCCAGCCTTGAGTTACCTGCTGGGTTTAACCCCTTCTCACAGTGCCTGCATCCCTCCTGCCCAGAGAGCAGCCTGCCTAATGAAGAGCCAAGGGAGAGGTTGGGGTTTGGTGCAAGAGGAGGATCAGGGGAAAGAGAGACCTGGCATCAGGCACAGAATCATAGAATCAACTACCCTATGTTGGCGAGGCAGCACAGGTACCCAAGCACCATTAGAGACACAGGAGTGAGACAGGGACAGGATGAGCAGCCGTAGGCCTGACTCAGACCAAGAGAGACGTTAAGCAGAGGCAGCAACTCGCCGTCACCAAACCACCCTCCTAAAGCAGAAACCATGGGGCCAGGCGAGGAGGGGATACAGGAACTACACAGTCTCCTCAGAACAGGGAAGTAAGGGAGAGGAGCCCCATGGCACCAATCCTGCACTCCGCAGGCCAAAGAAAACCCAACTTAATGCAAAGTTCAGAGGAGCCCAGGGTGCCCCAAAGAGACAGCAGCTTGCATGGGAAGACCGGAGCTGATCACTACCAGCAGCATGGAGGCAGAGGGATGAACCCATGCGTCCTCCCAGCCCTCGCTTTGCTCCACAGGAGCTTTTGCCACCTCCATCTCTCTCGGCAGCTCCTTGTCCTCAAGTGCTGTACAAGAGCCGTCACTCAGCAGCTTGGCTTGTCAGGCGGGCACCTCGCCGGGCTGCGGCCCCCCTGGCTTCATGGCCCTCATCTCTAGGCAACCTGACCTGGACACGGCCGGCTCCGGCTCCCCCGTTCCCATGGAAAGTGCCACACAAGAGGCTGCGAAGCCTTTTCTCTGCGCCAGGAGAAAAGGGGCTTTGTTAGCTTGCCCAGGGGGACAGCGTGAGAGCCGAGCCTCGGGTCTCTGGGAATCCGAACGGACAAACGGAGCACAACAACAAAAAAAAGCCCTAAAAGAAAGCCGGAGGGAGGTGGGGGGGGGGGAAGAGCAGCCATTCCCAGGATCATCTGTAGGTGCTCAAAGAGCGTTTCCCCCTCAACCAGCACTCGCCACCCCCTCGCAGTGACAGCAGAGCATAAAAGAGGTTTCCATTAAATAACTGTACCAAGGAGAGACAGCAGAGCCACTGCCAAGCCCAGGAGACCTGAGTAAAAAGAGGGACAAGATTCACATGGGAAAAAGAAAATAGCAAGATAATGCTTAGGGTAAGCTGTAGGAGCCAAGAGCCCATAGGGTCCAGCAGAGCTGGGTGCAGGAGGCAGGGGCAGGTTGATATTCCCATCACTGACTCCCCCACAACTCCTCCTTCAGCCACTCCAGATTGCCAAAGGGAAAAAAAAAAGCCAACAGTTTGCAAGCAAGAAACACGATTCCAGGCCAGGAGGAAACACGTGAAGACAGTAGGATGGAAAGGTTAGGACCAGGCATAACTTACTTGGAAAGTTGTCTAAGGATAGAAAAAGTCTTAATAGCAGATGGCAAAGCACATTTCCTAAGGAAACAGTTTTTTTGTTTTCCTTCTGAATTTAGCTTCAGTTCTTGAAGCACAAAGTAAGGGACTGCCAGGGCCCTGGGGAGGATATCAGTGGGGTCAGGAATGGGACTAACAGGAACTGCCCTGGTGCAAATGAGCCAGGGCAGACCTGCAAGGGCTCCCAGCACTCCAGTCTTGCCCAGTTCCTGGCAAGGGGACCGAGAGCATCAGAACATCCCAGTGCTCTCCCAGCCTTGGGCTGATAAACTGGGTGCCCTTTGAGCAACCCAGCTGCAGATACCTCATAGCCCCTTGCTAAACCTCACTGCAGCCCAGGAGAGCATCCACAGGGACCTGACCTTGACTGCAGCATCAGTGGTCCTGGTTGCATCCCTGTGCCGTGCCTCAGTTTCCCCAGTGGGAAGCAAATCAGGGCAAGCTCTGCACTGGGAGCCGCTCAGGAGGAGCAGAGTTTGGGGACGGGTGGCCTGCTGAGTGCGAGAAGCCGCGTCCATGCTCTCTCCATCACTTCCCCATCCCAAACTCACCCTGCAACGCTTCATTCACCCTCCCGAAAACACGGCAAGCTCCAGAACAGCCCAAACAGCCTCGCAATACCCCCCTGCTAGGAGATACAGGTGGAGCGGAAAGAGGAGGTGGCACTTGCCGGTCACAGCACCGCCGGACCCCGCACGGCGAAGGGTCGGGGCAGCGGCTGACCCCCGTGGGCTGGAATCCGGCCGCGCCGCTTCATCCCGGGCAGCGGCAGGGACCGTCCCCGATCCTATCCCCGTCCCCATGCCCTTACCATGTCGCGGTTGCGGGAGATCCATGTGTCGAGCAGCAGCTCCAGCCGCGCCTTGTGAAACTTCTTGGTGGTCTTGACGGCGATGAAGACATCGCGGGGGGAGATGTCCTCGGCCGGCGGCCGCGGGGGGCTCGGTGGGGCGGCCGGGACCTCCCGTCGGGCTCGGCTCAGCCGCCCGAAGTAGTCGGCGAAGCTGCGGAGAGCGGGGGGACCCTGTGCCGCGGGGGAAGCCGCAGCCCCCAGGCTCTGCAGTGCCCTCTGCGCCCCGCCGGCCTCCCCGCGGGCCAGCCCCGGCCGCCCCGGCGGCTCCACCATGAGCACCAGGAGGCAGGTGAACATGGAGCCCACGAGGGACAGGAGCAGCTTCCTCCCGCAGCTCTTCAGCATCGCCTCCTCTCGCCGCGCGGCCGCCTGAGGCTCTGCTTTGCTGTGCTGTTCTCCCCGCTCCTCCGCTCTCCTCCTCTCCTCCGCCCCACGCCGCTTCCAGCCCCCGCCGAGCCGCCGCTTTTAAACCGTCCCCGCCCCGCCCGGGGTGGGACGTCCCAGGGGCCGCCCTCATGCGGGGCGTGAGCAGCGGGGGCCCGGTCCTGCCCGCACCCGCTCCGTCCCTCCGCATCTTCCCCGCCAGCCCTCCATGAGTCCTACCCGCTCTGCCTCTGCTTTTCCCATGGCAGGGTGCAGGCAGGCTGCCCGTTCCTCCTTGCCTCCCGTTGACGGTAAGGAAGGTGCAGGTTTGGGGTACTCTGGTCCCTGGTGGGAGCATCACTCGCTGCTCCATCGTTGTAAAGTGTATGTTATCCCTTCAGCTCATCCCGAGCTGTCGTTTCCCAGAGCCTGCACCGAGGTTTTCTCACAGCTGTGTCCAAGAGGTTACCAGAAAAGCGACCAGCCTGACCAAACTGTTGCAGTTTCCCATCAGCCTGTTCTGAGGCCAAGCGTAATTGAATAAAACAACCGAAATCCTCAAACCCACAGCACTGCTCTTGCTTCCACCAGGCGCCAGCCTGGTGGGTAAATCTGGGAATGGGGCGCTGGGGGGAGGTCTGTTCCCATCCCTGCTCAGGGAGACCCAGAGGCACTCCAGACCTGACTAACCCCATCCTGCAATGCAGAAGCCCCAAGGTGCACAGGCATTCAAAACCAAATGCTACCTAGATGCCAAACAAGACCTCCCCCCAGCGATGGCTAACCATTAAAACGACTCCTTGTTAAATGAGACCCTGTTCTTCCAGACAGGCAGTGGGAGAAGTGGTGGGTGCAAGGGAAAACTGGGTTGAAATCTGGTCCTGGATGTGCCACCAGCCTGCTATTTAACTGACGCCAACCGCCCCGGGCCTCTTTTCCCCCTTACTCCCTGTCGCTGCAGGGAGGGAGCTTTTGGGGTTTTCTCTCCAGGCATGTGTGCTGTTATGCGGAGGCAGATTTGGGTTTGGGCCTGGGCTGCAATGTAATGCCATAATCAGGGGCTGCTGCATTTTTGGGGCAGGGACCTTGTCCAACTTGCATTTTTCCTGCAGTCACGTGCTCCATTCATCTCTGGCACTGGATAAACAATACCATAATACCAGGCAGGACGAAGCAGGGAAGCTGCTTCCTCAGGCAAGCCCCAGCATTTGCCTTCTGCTTTTAGGCTATACATTCCCCTGGTCAGCCCTTGAACCATAGCTCCAGGCTAGAAATGCTTGTGGAGGCTGTGGGGTTTGGCTTTGTACGGTGCCTGGGGAGAGACATGTGCTGCCCAAGAAGCCCTTGGGGAGAGACATGTGCTGCCCAAGAAGCCCTCCATAATAAAAGGGGGGGGGGAAAGGAGCTAGACCGTACAAACACAGGAACCGAATCCCACACTCCCCACTTCCCGCTATTGCTGCAAAACCCAGCCTTCCAGGCTCAATTTGCTTTCTTTTCGGGCGCCCTTTGTCTCTAACTGATGGCACAGCAACCGCGGCTTGAGAGGCAGCTGAAAAGCCCGATCAGCAGAACCCTGAATGAAGAAAGAGCCCCTTTCTCCAGCAGCCAAAAGGGGAGGAAAGGCACTTTTCCCCCGACCAGCTGCTCTCCCGCTCCTGCAGGCTGGGGACACGCGCCGTGGCCAGATGTTGGGGTCCTGGCTGGCGCCGCAGGACAAGTGACAATACAGGCTCTGTGTGCCCTGAGCAATGCAGTGAGGTCTGTGGAACTGCTGTGCCCTTTCCAGCAAGGGCTCTCCTGGCCCCATGTCACTGCTTGTAACCCCCTTCTTCGGCTCAGCCCAGCTGCCCAGGGTCAGTGAGGCACGGCAGCAAAGGGAAGCTATTCTTTTGGTGGCATTGTCCGTCCGGAGCGAGACTCCCGTGGGATTGTCCAGCTGCTGGCTATGTCCCCACAGGCTTCCTCTCCAGGCGCCTGGCCTCCTGGCTCAGCCCTCACCTGCCACGTGGATGTCCCCTAGTGAGCCACTGTCCCCCGTGGGGAAATGGTGATGGGGTAAGTGGTTGCACTGCTTACCCCTCGGTGGGCACAGGATGGTACCCAAAGGGGTCGGGAGCAGGAGACTGCAGGGGGAGGATGCCCTCAGGAACGCCCTGTGCCCAGTTTATTGGAATTCAGCCACTCTTCTGGATACAAGGAGCCTAACCCCTACCTGAATGGCCCCAGCACCGGGCAAATTAGTGTGGCACATAAATACAAGGACCAGGGGACAGGAACGGTGTCATGACTGCTGTGCAGGAAGGATGCTGGACTGGACCAGGATGCACATCTCGCTTCCTCCTCCAAAAAGGATCCCATTTTGGACAATGGCCCACAACTCGTTCCACTCACATGTCACAGGCTGTGGCTGCGGGGTGCTGGTGAGCTCCCTGCTCTGCCCAGCTCCACATGGATGGGTCCAAGCCAGAACCAACTGCCCAAATCCCCCAAATCTCAGGGATATGCCCTTTGCAGAGCTCACTCCCACTGCAAATTAACCTCACTCAAACCCCGTGCTGTTTTTCCCCTGGAACTGGCTGGATTCAGCCCCACACCAACCCAGGGCTGAGGCTATCTCCCTTTCAGCCTCCCGGTGGTATTAGGTCGGTTTAAATTGGTTTAAAGCCTCCTCATCGTCCCCGCTCGCTGCCTGACCCCGGCGCTCGATAGGTGGTCCCCTAAGAAGCTCCCAGGTTCTCAGGGCTGCTCGAAACGGTTAATAAATAAATCCCCAGCAGTAGTGTTCAGGTCATCCGAGGGAAGCGCCGCGCTCGGGCTGCCGAGCTGCATTGTCCGCCCGGAGCGATTTACGCGCTTCGGCGGACAGGGGTTAAAAGCTCTGTCGGGAGCCGACTTCGCCGCCACCGCTTTGTCGCGGGTATTTAACGGGGTCCAGCCCCGACGCACGGCCGAGGTGTGCGAGGGGACACATCGGAGGAAGGCAGCGCGGGAGCTGGATCCTACCCGCGGTCCGTCCCCCCGCCCTGCTCACCCCCTTGCTTTTTCTTTCTGGGATTTTCTGAGAGCACAAAAGAGACTTTGCATCGATTACTGGGAGGGAAACGGCAGCGCCCCGCAGCAGACTTCTGCGCTCCTGGCCCGGGTTTGGTTAACTTCCCATTGTCTCATGGGCTCTGCTATTCAGGGCTCGAAGGCCCGTTTGTTTCCTCTATTGGGGGGGTTTAACCACTCTGGAAACATAAAACCTTCCTGCCCTCGCAGCAGAGGAGCTGGCAGTGCCATCGGGGTGGCTGTGAGAGCGGAGCACATCCGTGCCTGTGCCCAGCACCAAAATCTCCAGCAATGGGTGCTCATGGTGCATCTCCATCCCCATCACTATAGTCCTCCCAGGTACTCCAGCTCTGGCACCTCTGCAAGCCCCATTTACCCTCCATGGTCTCAGACCCTACATCACTTTCTCCCTCCACCTTAGGGGACTAGGGAGGGCGGGGGGACACGATGTGATCCGTGCAGGGCACTTTGAGATCCCACGGGGCCAGGGGGCTATACAAATGCAAAGCGTTATTATATTCCCGGGGCTGAAGCAGAGGCCTGAGAAAGGTTGAGCGAGAGAGGCAGCGAGTGGGGAACAGCAGGGGATTTAGCTCCTGAAAAGGAGCCGGGGAAAAAAGCGGGCGAAGAGCTTCATTGTGCGTTGGGCAGAGGGGGTCACGAGCAAGTTAAACTGGTTAATGTATTGGAGCAGCTTCCTCTGAGCTGCTGGGAGCAAGCAAAGCCCTGCAACAAAAGGCCGAGGGAGCATTCTTGCGGGGAAAGTGGGCTCTCTTTAAAAGGATTTGATTTCTTTTCTGTCAGTTGAATGGAATTTGGTGGTGACTCCTCCAGGTCTAAGAATCTGGGGCTTTGGCAGTGGTGGTGACGGGAGGGGACGGTCCTTGTCCCCCCCTCCCTGCTCCCGCATTCTTCTCCATCTCCAAGCCTGCAGCCCCCAGATTACAGCTCCCAGTGTTGGGGAGGGGGGGAGAGGGGCTGGGGGAACACAAGCGGCCCCGTATAAACGCTCTGATCCTGAAAGAAAGAGAGGGGCATGGGGCCGTCCCTGCCCAGCCTGGTTTCTCATGCTCCCTATTCAGCCCAGGGGAGGGGAGGTAGATGTGGGGAGAAGGGAGGCTGGTGGGGCATCCATTGCTGATTTAATGCCTCTGTCAGAGCTTCAGGGTCGAGGTGGATCGTGGGGGAGTTTCAGCAGTGTAAGGTGTGCAAGGGGGACTTCCTGCTCCTTCCTTTGGGGTGAGAGTTTCTAACATTAAAACCATGGAAAGAGGGCAAAAACAGGAGGGAAAGGGATCCTGAACTAGTGAAATCAGATGGATCCAACCCCACTTTCCCATGCCCTGTGCATCTCTCTGCTCCCAACAGCAGCTCCTGTCCTCTCCAACCTGTCTCTCCCACACCAAAATCCCTCGATGCTGGGCAGGAGCATCCCTTCTTCATAGGTACACCCACAGGGCCATGGAGGGGGGGACACTGCTGCCAGTCAGGGATGCTGGGCTGGATGCAGTCTGTCTCTGGCTGCACTGACCCTGACAGCAAGCCAGGGAACTTTAGAGCTGTCCGAAGCTGGAGGCTGCTGCATACTGCTTGGATTGAACTGACAAGTGTGTGTTTGGGGTGGCAAAAGAAAATAATCAGTTAAGCAGAGTTTAAGTGACTGGTGACCCTGCACTGCATGAGTTATTGCGGATCCAGAGCCTTCAGCAGTGGCCAGCTAGGTGGACAGACAGACACACAGGGGAATGGGCAGCAGGCTCTCACTGACTGTTCCCATCTCATTGTGCCTCAGTTTCCCAAGAGGCAATGTGCCTCTGGTAGAGATCCCATGGGCAGCTGCCTGTCTGGGAGATTCCCTTATGGGCAGTCCATGGAGTCTGTACATGCCCATCTGTACAGGCAGGGCAAGAGCACAACAAGCTATCATGTTTTGTTGGACATGAGGGCCAGACTGTCCCAAGCACCTTCCAGAGGTGGGGTCGAAGAAGACTGCAGCTCCCGGCCTTTAATTCCTGGCCTCTCATGCTTT